ATTTGCCAAATTTGCTAATATTAATTTAAAACATTTTAGTATTTTTTATTAGAATTTAAACGTTTATTTTCATTTAAAATCATACATAAAATAATATGCGTGTATCCTATTTAATTTATAGTTAAAGTATATTACCACCAGAGCCCAACAACTCATGACAAAGTCTTAAAATAAATCTTCAATTTTTTTGTAACTTATAAAATTTTAGTAAAATCAAACTGAAGTTAATTTATTTCAGATTTTTGTCATGAGTAAATAATTTTAAAAATGTTTTTTATAATTATTTTCAAAATTTTATAATTATAATTAACAGTTAAATTGTATTTGAATTATGTAACAAACTGTTTTATAGACAAGTAACTGGATTAAAAGAATAATTTTACTGTTTATTTAGTTAATAAAATATAATTTTATTAATTAAATTTTACTGAGATTTCATTTTAAAAAGTAGTTTGATTAAACAATATAAAATATCTGACGAGAGGCAAAGGCCTTAGTAAAATTTCAGTAATACATGCTTTAATTGTGTATTTTGAGTTAAAACAAAACACTTATGTTGAAAATATTAGTCTTCTCAAATTTTCCTTCAGTGCAAGAAAGAAATAATCATATTTAATATATAAAATGCAGAGAAAAATTTTAAATATAAAAATGTTTTACAAAATTATTCTAATTTAGTAATTAAATACCCTAATAAGTTATGTGTTTGTAAGTTATCCAAGTTAATCCACGCTGAAAGCTTAATATTAAAATTTCAACAACTAAATAGTCATACTTCTCAAAGGTATCATTTATTCGTTTCAGCTTATAATCGGTTAATTCAATAAAGCTAAATCAAAACTGATTATTAATAATCGATTAATTTAAAAAATTTAAATGAAAAGTGACTATTTATATACCTAATAAGCATACCCAATTATTAAAATAACAGAATTAAGTGACAAATAAAAAGCAAACTTAAAATTTATTTTTTCAACCATAAAAAATTTGATTTCAATTTGCTATTTAACAATAAAGTGTATTATTATGCTACTACGTATGGAATTGCAATATGCTAAAATTCAAAAAGAAATTTTGAGTGACAAACAGCAAATAGATTGCAGCTGTCCTCTTACATATGCTATACATGTTAAAAATGAATGCTTAACGTTTGGTTCAAGAGGATAATGAATTGAACATTATATTTGTGTTCAATTCCTTATCCACTTGATTTGATTTTCACAAAAAAAGAGTGAAACAAAATTTTAACTAAAGCTTTACAACTCTAGTTAAGAAATAATAAAAGTAATTTTTAATAAAAATTTTTTAATGAAATAAATTAAAAGTGTTAACAGATTTTTTTGGGGAAATTTTTAAATAATTATTTACCTTGAAGAGCGAAACAATAACTGAATTACAGCTGTAACTGAATATATATATATATATATATATATATATATATTTATTAA